TATTACAAACGACGCGTAACTTCTGGGCTGGCCTAGATACCTAACGATAGGCCGAAAGAGCGATCCAGTCTTCCGACTCCGGCCCACTTCTTCGACCGGAAATACACCGAACCTCTGCTTACGGCTCATCTCCGACCGGCGCGGTCGGAGCCGACTGGGAACGACCGACCGGGGACACCCGCTCGATGAGGACCCAAAAAATCAGGCGGAGCAGATAAAGTAAGACGCTCAAGTCAACCGTAACACCGAGGACCATACCCTGCACATCTGCAGGACAGTACTGTCAGGCCATGCTAGAAGGGTACTTTGCAACCTTCCAGACATGTCAGAACACGAACAGTGTTGTGGGTGTCGACATTTGTGCTACAGTATGGTAGGCGCCGATATTTACCATACCAGAAGAACACGAATGAGCCTGCCACATACATTTGGGCATCAACAGTATTGTGGGAGCCGACAAACTGTCTTTCACACGACGACGTGGGCAACAAGACTAGAAAACGCATACTCTCTCTCTCCTAACTTGTAAGGCCGTCCCCTTCACCTATAAAAGGGGATGCGCTCTCTCCTAAAAGATGACGGTCATTCCGACTCTCTCTCTGCTAAGGTTTAGACATTCTGAGCACTCAAACAGCTCCACGGCTCTAGAACTCTAAAGCTACACAGAGCATACGTTCCAATACTTAGCACACGTAGGAGCTCACGTCACTCTTGGCTCTTTAGTCCAGAGTCCGATCGGACCTCTGACACCCCATCTTATTCCCACTCGTTTGTAACCCCACAACAAACTTCAAACACCTGGGCTTAGGAATAAAGTCACCGACCGACTGAAACTGGACGTAGGGTACGTTGTCTAAACCAGTATAAACCCTGTGTCATTGAGTGTTAGGTCATATCCGATCACAACGTACGGCAAAATTACAAATATTTATTTGTCGATCACTTTTCGCATTGAGATATGGATTAGTATTAACCACTCTTTACGTACGTAGCAAATACATGGGGGGTTAATTGACGTACTAACCGCTCTCCACGCGCGATTGGCCGCCGGCGACAGCACGTCGGAATCCTTCCACTGGCGCCTTGCGAATTGCGATCAAGTCATTTCAATGACGATTAATTTCGTCTTGTGGAATGGCTTTGCTTCTGTCACGTCCCCCGGTTTGTCTCACTCCACAGCCAGTCATATCAACGGAGGACCAAGCCAATCTGCTTGCATGACTAGCTGGTCCACGTCATAGATTAATGGTCGATCGTATCGTATCATATCATTTGTGCGCTTGATAAATAAAGTGAGACTAGCTACAAGATGCAGCAGGGCAGAGGAGGGTCAAGTTAGAACTAAAGATGGCAGCGGATCGGGTTCGGGGCGGATATCCGCGGGTTTTGGATCCGCGGTTTTCAGTTTCGGTTCATGATTTTCACCCATGGATTTACGGGTTCGGATACCCGAAATACCGCGGTTTTGGAGCGGACCTTTAAATTGACCCGTGGAGCTCCATCGGGGCCCCGAAACTTTCAGCCCACCAGAGCCCACCTAGGAAGCCTAAGTATATAAGTGTGGAATCGTTCAGCCCTCATCCGCATCCACCCAGGGGCGGCAGCCCTTCCTCCTCCTTCTGTCCTTCAAGATCCGGCGGGGGCACATCTACTCGGCCACCTCCACGCCCAACCCAAGTTCCCCATTCCCACACCACCGGCGGCAGCGGACGACGCATCTAGAGATCCCATCGGCCACGGCGGCGGCCTACTCTGTGCGACGCCCCCCATTTTCTAGCCACCGACGACGTCCGCTGCTCCCTCGCCCCGTTGTCTGCGCATCCGGCAGCGACCCCCACTCACCCACGACAGATCAGGCGACCTTGACTCTCCGTAAGTCTCTTATTGCCTTAGCTTTCTTTTTCTTTTTAGTTTGTGATTTGCTGATCCGTTCCCATGGGATATTTATTTTCGTAAGATTTTTTTAGTCAGATCTGAATCTCAAACTTTTCTTGTGACTACTCACTGGTAGTAGTAATATTTTGCAGCACACTCTACATCTAGTAGTAGTAATTTTTGTTGTTTATCAGTGGCAATTCTCAATATTTTCTTTTGACTATAACCATTTTACTACCGCAACTGCTAATTTCTTTGATGCTACAAATCAACCAGGCCTGATCGCGAGCAATGTCGGCTCCTGGTGCTTCAAGTGGATCTCAAGCTGCTGCTGCTGCATCTCAATCTGTGGGTTCAAGTGGATCTCAAGCTGCTGGCACTTTGGACTTTGCCACTTTGGACTGTAATACTTTTGTTTGGACTGTAATATCTAGACAGTAAATGGCTGGGCGCCTTAACTATCTTCTGTACCATTAGCTACTACTTGCATATTCTGTACATATTTAATTGCAATATCCTCGGGTTTCGGTTAATCCGTCGGGTTTCGGGGATCCGCGGGTTTCGGTTTCGGTGATGGATGTTCACCCGAATCGATTTTCGGGGCGGATTCGGTTTCAAGTTCGGGTTTCGGTTTTGGGTGCCCAGACACTCCACCCGATCCGAACCCGCCCCGTTGCCATCTTTAGTTAGAACTGGAGCAAGCCCTGTATGGAGCTAGCGCCGGCCGTGGTTAATTAACAACGCAAAAGTGTTCGTTGATACTAATACTCTCTTTTTCTTCTTCCATTCCATGGATGCGTGTATATTATATGTTTGGCAAATTTTGCTAGAGAGCACCGCAAAGAGATATAATTGGTCGGCATACACCGCAACGGCGAGAATTTGTCCAGTACCATTATAAATTTGTGGTTGTTTGCCATAACAAATCGTGTTTATCTTTTTATTCATTTCTTGGCTTTCCAGAGAGAGAAGGTGGGGGAAATGACTTCTTTGCCGTCTTCGACATTTGTTTGTTGACTGAAATTTTGCTGTAACACACCGCCGTCTTCAACCTCTGGCGAGCTCCCCCTGCTCCAGCGAGCTCCCCTGGCCAGGGCGGCTGGGGGCGGCGCGGCCACCCAGGCCGGCGCGGCTAGGGGCATGGCTTCCCTGGGCGCGGCCACCCAGGCCAGCGCGGCTGGGGGCGTCGCGGCCTCCCTGACCGGCGCGGGGCGTCGCAGCCACCCAAGCCGCGCGCGGCTGGGGGCGGCGCGGCCTCCCTGGCCACCGCGGCTGGGGGCACACCACCCAGGCCGGCACGGCTAGGGGCGGCGTGACCTCCCTGGACGGCGCGGCTGGGGGCACGGCCAGCCAGCGCGAAGGATGGGGAGATGCACTAGCGTGGGTGAGGGCGGCCATGGCTGGCTGTTCTAAGGAGGAAGAAAGTCCATTTGCAAAAAAGCCCCCTCTTTCTCTTTTCTATCTATTTACTGTTCATTAAGACTATCGAGTCATCCCAATAACCCCCTATGAACCTTTAAATGTTTTAATAAAATTCTAGTCAAGCACTCTGTGCAGTGGTGTGTAATGGCAAATTTCAGTCAACAGTCGAAGGTTGAAGACATGGGCAAAGAAGTCATTTACTCCACTTCTCTCTCTTGAAAGCTGAAAATTGAATAAAATAATAGACGCGATGTGTCACGACAAACAACTACAAATTTGTAACAATTCAACCGGTTGTCTAGGCTTTCATGCTAAGACTTTTGTTGATATGTAGCATGTGCTTTTGACCAGGCTAATAATTAACATGTTAAATTACTAGTTTTTTTGGCGATCGTGTCGTGGCACGTTTTTCATTAAACAGAAGTAGAGTTTGTTACATCCTAAGGTAGCCACGGTAATCCAGTGATTACCGAGACCAACGGCCGAACAACACACATGTTAAATTACTAGTACAAGCTAAATTCATGTGGTGATTGGTTCAGATCCAGAGCTGCTTTTGAATGTGTAATTAATGGCATTGTGGCCTCGCTACTGATGACGTCAGATTTTTTTTTTCTTTCGGTCACACCATTCTCTGCGAAAAATAACTCATGGAGTAGGAGTACGTTCTTGGCGCAAGAAAGGTTCGTGTAATTCATACACTCCAACTCTCCAAGCATGCTCTTGCTCACCAATTCTCCTTGGCTATTGTATTTTCTTTCTTTTTTGTAGCCTGCATGGCAAGTTACCGCTAATTAACTCATGTGCTCATTAAAAATTGGCACGAGCTTTAGCCTTTAGGTGTAGGACCTCTATTCGTCTCTGTCGTCACAGCTCAAAAAGGCTGCAGCGAGCCGAAAGACCGAAATGATTGCTCCATTCCAGCCTTTTTTCTTCTCAGACTCAGAGGAGAGTTTCTGTCGCCTGATCGATCGCAAATTAAAACAAAGCTCAAAAAGGCTCTGGAGTGTGATATGAGGAAGCATCGTATCTCAAAACTCATGCCACGAGTTCCTCCCACGACGTATTTTAAATGCCCTAGCTCTCCCTGGAATCTGGCAGTGTTTAATACTGCGCACACGGCCCACGGATTGGTTGCCCTGGGATGCCATTTTCAGCTTACTTTAATCATTACCCATCCAATGGAAGCAACGCACTCTCCCATAATCACATTTTGCACGAACGAATACTGTGCTGCTGCTGCTGCCCGAGACCAATAAACAACCTGAATCAAATGTGGGGTCAGTACTCGGTACTGCAGACTGACCACTGACCGTCAGAGAAGCGCGTACACCAACAACCTCTTGCTCTTGGGTTTGCTTGCTCTCCTGTCTCCCCTGCCCTTTATTTGTCCTATATCGTTCTATATTTTTCAATGCCATTCACATTTCTTTGGAGAATCAAAAGAAATATGACACTCCAATTGCGGTTTCCACACTGACTTTCTGTTCGGAGATCAGTGCAACTGTAGCCAATCCTTTGATCCATATATATATGGTATGCGAATGGTACCTCACATATCGCAGTCACCAAGTGCCGGCAAACTCACAGCGATCGGTCCTAAGTTGTAGAAGCAGAGCTAGAGAGACACTACTTGGCGTCGTGATCAGCAGCAAGCTAGCAGGCAGGGCTCACTCGATCGCCACCGTCACACTCGCCACGTCATGTCGTCGTCGTCGTTGATGGAGCACGACGAGCAGGTGTCGCCTCAGGTGTCCGAGGGCGGCTGCACCTGCAGCAGCAGCGGCTCCCTCAACGCGTCGTCGCCGAGCTCCAGCGACGACTCCGGCGGCGGCGGCAATGGCAAGCAGGGCACGAAGAAGCGGCCGCGCAGGGACCTGAAGCACCCGACGTACCTCGGCGTGCGCATGCGGAGCTGGGGCAAGTGGGTGTCGGAGATCCGGGAGCCCCGCAAGAAGTCCCGGATCTGGCTCGGCACGTTCGACGACCCGGAGTCGGCCGCGCGCGCGCACGACGCCGCCGCCGTCGCCATCAAGGGCCGCGCCGCGCACCTCAACTTCCCCGAGCTGGCCCACCAGCTGCCCCGCGCCGCGTCCGCGGCGCCCAAGGACGTGCAGGCCGCCGCCGCGCTCGCTGCGGCAGCTGTGGCGGCTGCTTCACCCGTCGTCCCGTCCTCCTGCGCCCACGGCCACGGCCACGCCCACGACGATGCCGACACCGAGACGGAGGAGCTGCCGCCGCCGCCAGAGCGGGCAATGCCGGAAGAATGCGACACTGAGAACCAAGCTCACCTCGACCAGCTCGGTGGCGACGTTGACATTGGACTGGGCTGTACGTTCTTGGACGTGCCAGACGCTCTTCTAGACTTCGGGTACATGTTGTCGCCGCTGCCGCTGCCGTCTTACTGTGGCTCGCCGTGGGATGACATCGCCGATGACCTCTGCTTCGAGGAGCCCTTGCTGCTTTGGGAACATTGACGTTCCAAGACTAGACAACTCCGTCCGTCCACGAGATTCTTAGTTTCTTTTGGTCTACACATTACCGTGTGCTAGCTAGCTAACCTTGTCGATCGTCGCTGTGATGCGTGCTAACAAATTTTGCAAAAGCACATGTAGTTACATTGAATCCATAGTTTCCAAATTTTGATTCCATTATAGGTCAATAAGACTCATGTCACTTTGTATCATATACAATAATACATGAGAAATGTTTTCCATCAGACACCCGAGGTGCACGAGGTTTCCATGAAGCAATGCTCTCAGCCGTCCATCTAGCATACGACGACCGATTACATTCATCTTACTACACTGCTCAGTTGTTTATCTGGCATCCGATGGCCTATTACTTTCTTCGGCCCTGTTTTGAGATAAATTGTCCCAAACCGAGCCTTTTTCCAACAAAGTGAACCAACATCGAGATTATTGAAGGTGTGCGTGAATATATATGTGCAAGTCCAAATCAAGATTTCTGTAATTGTAGTAGTAGTTGTTTCTCACTTACATGTCGTTCCAACAAAGCGCCTTGTGTCGACGTTTCGGACCGGGGGTCCTCAACCAACCAGTAAATGTGAACTGCGTGCCTCTAATCCCGGATGGTGATGCAAAGAGACATAAGGTTTATACTGGTTCAGGCAATCGGCGCCCTACGTCCAGTCTAGGAGATCGATCTTGTATTCTCTGCACCGAAGTGCTTGTAGTAGGGGGTTACAAGCTGGGTGAGAGAGGGAGCTAGTCCCAGGTCTCGGCGTAGAATGGTGCGGGCTGCTTGAGTCGTTGCTCTCAGGCTGCGTGGGAGAGCGCGTGAATTGAGTGAGTACGTTTTTGCGCATGAGAGCCGGCGTGGTTTCGATCCCTAGAAACGGCCTTGGCTGCTTCCTTTTATAGCCACAAGGAGGAAGCCAGGAGTACATGAGAGAGCTACACGTGGAGCCTTAGCGAGAAAGGAAGATCCAGTACTGTGGCCTATTCCTATAGCAACACAGTGTCGGGAATGGCAATTGGTACTTGATCACCGGTGCGTCACGCAGGCCATGGCCGAGGCTGTTGAAGTCGTAAGAGTCCTTGTTGACGTCTAGTCGGTATGGCCTCCACCGTAGGTGACATGCCGTGCTGGTGGACTCTTGTCCCCGGTGGAGTGCCGAGGCCTAGCGGTGCCGGAGCTGATCGTGCGAGGCCTTCTTTGCCGAGGCCTCGGATGTGACCGTGTAACGACCACACGGGGTCTTTGTGGTCGTAGGTCGTACCCGATTCGGTGAAAAAAAAATGCGGAATGGGCGTAGTCTCTCGCACCGTCGGTGAGGGGATGGTAAAAGGTGATTTGACCGTCGTCCCATCGCCCTTTTTGCTATACCCTGCCAATCGTGGCTGACGTAGGCGTAACTAGGGATACTTACACGGATGGGACGGCCCGCTAGAGGGGCAATTGAGGCAGAGGCGACGAGAATGCGGGACGAGCCCGGCCTCGGCCAAGGCGGAGAAGGAATGGCGCGTCCGAGGCCTTGCCGGGGGGTCTCGGACGAGGCAGAGACCGAGCAGCTGGGCTCTCCTGCTGTTTCCGAGGCTACAGGGACATGGACTCGACCTTCCATGCCGCTTTGTCCTTGGCGCAGGGGTTAGGTAGCACAGGACAGTATAAGTGTTAGGAGGGAGCACAGTGGTGAGTATAGTGGCAGGTAACCCCTGCTGTGCCCGGTCTCTGTCCTGTCAGTTGTTCTGCCCGCACTATACCTGCGTGCGGCTGACGTTTGAGGGAGTGGTTGGGTGCATTTAATCCGGACGTGACGTTTTGCGGAGGAGTTCGGTCGGGACGGAGGTTACAATACGTCCGCACGAGTCCGGCCTCGAGCGAATCGGAGGTGGAGATCCGTCCGAGGCCTTTGGGGCGAGGCTTTAAGCAGAGGGTCTCAGCGAGAGGGCCTCGGCGGGGACGTTTTAGGCTTGTTTCACATGAGGCCTCGGCGCAAGGCCTCGGGGTAATTGGAGAATTTTGCCGAGACCTTGCGTAGTCTTTGGCTTTGGTTTTAGCAAGGCTTAAGCAATATTCTTGGATCTTGCTTAGGGTACCCCTTCTTGTGGTATCCGGCAAGTAGCCCCCCTCGAGCCTCGGGAGGAGTGCGGGCACTCTCCCGAGGTTTTTGACGAGACTTGGTTCGCAGCAGCTCTGCCGGGATCGTGGTTTGTACTTGGTGGTTCTGGTGGTGCGCTGCAGCGCACCCGGCGGTGTGTAGTTAACCCGAGGCCCCGGAGGAGTGGGTTTACTCCTTGAGGGCTTTTTTTCTCCGTTGAGCAAGGGGTCTCAAGATGCTTGCGGGGCCCATGAATGCGAGTTCGGGTCATTGGTCTCGACAAACTTTGCGGTGAAGAGCCCCTAGCCTCGTGACAGAGCGAGAGGGACGTCGGTGCTCTCTCGGCTTTTTATACGCCTCTCTCAGCGTGAGGGTTTGTTTGTTTGTGACCCCCTCGGGTGCAGGTAGACTCGGGTCATGGGGCCTCAAAGCATATCTCGGGGAAGAGCTCCCTAGCCTCCCGCCCAGAGTAAGAGGGCCGTCGGGGAGTTCCCGGCACGGCTGGCTGGCTCCTCCCACGCCGTCCGTCGACATTTGGCGACCCCCAGATTCTGACTGGGCCAATGGGGTCATGTAATAGATTAGGGACGTACATCATTGTACCATAATGTTTGTGGCCGTCGATGCCTTTTCGATGCTTGTGTATATATGCATCTTAATCGTTTTCTATTATATTTCTCAGCCCTTGCTCTCTGCTCCGTTTCTGAACATATCACTTGCAAAAAACTTCCTCGGAGCCCAAGTTGCCCCTTTGGCAAAATGTGGTGAGGGAGTTGCTGTAGCCCAGAGGCGTAGGCAGTCTCGCGGCTCGGCCGGCCTTTTGGCCTCGAGGCATACTTTCGGTCCTTAGGTTTTTTACAATCGATTTGTCAGAGTACGCGAGAGAGTTCGGCGTAGGAATTTTTTCGAAAAGACGACTAAAAAATGGTGTCCCCCTGTCTCGTTTTTAGACAAGTCCTTTGCAAAAACTTCCTTGGAGCCTAAGCTGCCCCTTGGGCGAAAGGTGGTGAGGGAGTTGCCGTAGCCTGTGAGGCGAGGGTCTGTCTCGCTGACTCGGCCGGCCTTTTGGCCTCGAGGCGAACTTTCGGTCCTTAGGTTTTTGCAATTGATTTGTCAGAGTTCGAGACAGAGTTTGGGATTTGGGGGGGAGGTTCCCCCCTAGCTCCCGAGGGAGGCTCGGTTCTGCAGAGGCAGAGTCGAGTCTCCCCCAGCGTTATCGTAACGTCGAACCCGTACCGATGGGCTCGGGGGGTTCCTCGAAAATTTAGAACAATTAAAGAACGCTTCTTTATTGTATTTTGAGAAAAATTATATGATGCTTGGGAATTTAAGGGTAGAAGCGACGTATCTGTTCTATGTTCCAAGTGTTGGTGAGGATTTCGCCCTTCTCGTAGGCTAGCTTGTAGGTCCCGTGCTTTAGTACTTGGGCGGGCCACCAACTTCCAAGTCGTCGATGAGGTCACTGGCCTTCCTGGACTTGTCCTTGATGTCGTCCACGTCGGCCTCTACGGTTCGCCCGATGTGTTCGCCCAAGACCTGGGTGGTGCACCGCTGGTTCGTGGCCCCTGCATTTCTGAGACTGAATGGCATAGTCACATAGCAGTACATGTCGAATGGGGTGATGAAAGAAATCGGCTCCTCAGGAGGTGGTGGGGCAGAGCTTGATGGCAGGACGTCGCTCCGTGCCACCGACGTCTTTCCCCTGCCCAGGCTTAAGCTAGATAGGTCTCCAACCAGGGACCCTGTACCAACAGCAGGGCATGGGATACCGACGGGGCGTCGCCGCATGCCCCCGGTGTTTCGCCCATGTCTAGGCTCAGGCAAGTCAGGTCCCCAACCAGGGACCTTGTGCCAACAGCTGGACATGGGGTGCCGGCAGAACGCGGTGCGCCACCATGAGCTCGCGCGGTGTCGGGTGGAATCCGCCAGCGTTGCGCTGGCGAGTGTGACGAGAGCGGCGGTTTCGGGCGTCGCCGCGCGCAGGCTGCTCAGTGGCGTGATGTGATGTCGTCGTCGGTTGGCCGGGGGCTACAGGTGGGAGGAGTACCATGTCGTACTTGTATCTAGAGACATGAACTCTAGGCTCCCGAACCAGATCATCGTGCCGAGATGTAGTGGTCGTATGGGGTCAGCCATCCGGAACTTGTTGGGACGATCACGCTAACACGCAGAGGCCCCTCTATGGCAGCATTTGTCGGCGTTTCGGACCGGGGGGTCCTCAACCAACCAGTAAATGTGAACTGCGTGCCCCTAATCCTGGATGGTGATGCAAAGAGACACAAGGTTTATCTTTGGTTCGAGCAATCGGCGCCCTACGTCCGATCTAGGAGATCGATCTTGTATTCTCTGCACCGAAGTGCTTGTAGTAGGGGTTACAAATTTGGGTGAGAGAGGAGCTAGTCCCAGGTCTCGGCGTGGAATGGTGCGGGCTGCTTGAGTCTTTGCTCTCAGGCTGTGTGGGAGCGCGCGTGAATTGAGTGAGTGCGTTTTTGCGCATGAGGGCCGGCGTGGTTTCGATCCCTAGAAACGGCCTTGGCTGCTTCCTTTTATAGCCACACGGAGGGAGCCAGGAGTACATGAGAGAGCTACACGTAGAGCCTTAGCGAGAAAGGAAGATCCGAGATCGTGGCCTATTCCCAGTAGCAACACAAAGTGTCGGGAATGGCAATTGGTACTTGATCACCGGTGTCACGCAGGCCATGCCCGAGGCTGTTGAAGTCGTAAGAGTCCTTGTTGACGTCTAGTCAGTATGGCCTCCACTGTAGGTGACATGCCGTGCCTGGTGGACTCTTGTCCCGGTAGAGTGCCGAGGCCTAGCGGGTCTTTGGAGCTGATCGTGTCGATGCCTTCTTTACCGAGGCCTCGGAGGTGACCTATGTAACGGCGTGGGGTCTCGTGGGTGCGGTCGCACCC